TCCTTGCGCAGACATCGTCCGCCTCTCCACCGCCTCCCTCGCCACCGCCCGGTCTCTGCGACGAGCTCCTCCTGACCAATGGGTCGCGATGCGCGCTTCCGGCACCGTCGCCGCCGCCGCTCGAGACGCCGCCGCCGCCACCCGCGCCGCCGCCGCCGCCGCCGCCGCCCTCGCCGCCGCCGCCGCCGCCGGTGGGCAAACGGAGGGCCGCGACCCGACCCGAAAGGCGACATCACGCGCGCTTGCTCGTCTTTTCTAGGTGCAGATGTGGTGGCTATCCTCTCCGACGGCGCCGCCGCCGCCACCGCTGCTGGAGCTCCATTCCACCCCTGTCCCGGAGGACACCTCCCTCTCGTTGAGCCTGGTCGAGATCCTCGGCGGTGTGGCTTTTGGCCTCGCGCTCTTGGCGGTGCTCGGCCATCCTCTGCGCGGCGCCGAGAACACGGAGTCGACGCGGCGGAGACTTCTGTTTCTAGGTGCTGCGCCGCGTCCTCTGCGGGGGCGGCGGGAAGAAGCAAGCCCGGGCGGCGCCGCCGTCCGATGCGGCCGAGTGGAAGGTGCGAGATTACCTTGGACTCCCCGAGATTACCCGAGATTATAATACCCGAGTCGAGATTGCATTGGGAGCCTCCCCCGGCCACTCCCCTCTGCTCCCCTCTGCGCCCCTCTGCTCCCCTCTGCAGCCCCTCACGCTGGAGGCTTCACCGTTTATAGGCGCCGAACAGTTTCACCGACAGCGATCGGCGGCACGCCAAGGCGTCCGGCTTCTCCATGTAGCTCTCATGCGGCACGGCGAGCGGGATGGATCGGGAACCGATCACAGCGCATACGGGTTTCTGCGCAGGTACGTGGCGACACTGGGGATTGGAGGGGGTTGGAACTGGGGGATAGAACTGGGGGTTGGGGGGGAAGCGAGCCAGGGACGAACATTGCCTCGTGTCCTGCTCCTGGGAGCAGGGCTACGGTGACGACGGCCTGCCGCCCACGTCGAAACCCTCGGATCGGGGCAGGCCGCCGCCGTGAGAAGGGCGAGCGCGAGAGGGGCTCGAGTGAACATGGCTGATGATTTGCCCGACTTGGGGCCTAAGGGGTTTCTTCTTTCCGAGCCTGTCTGCTGTGAGAGAGAGTTGTATTACTTGTTTTCGGCCCTGGATGTGAGGCAAATGACTGCACTCCAAGTGTTCCAAGTGCCCAGGCCGTTGTCTCCCAACTGGGCTTTTCCTAGACGCGCTGTTGTATGCTTCATGCTACATGGGATCCATGCATCATGGGGAACGCGGTGCGCCTGCGGCGGCCCGCACCACCACCCTTGGCAGCACAAAGCTGCGCCAGAGGTCCACCAGCCCCGGCGCCGCCCCCTCGCCGTCGAAGCGCTCCTCGTCCCAAGCGATCAGGTAGCCCAGCCGCATCACCGCGACCGCCCGCTTGCGAGCCGCCTCCGGGAAGAGCTCGTGCGACTGCGGTGACCACTCCGCCGCCTTGAGGATGAGCCTGCCCACCTCCACCGCCTCGGCCGCTGGCTGCAGGTTGGCCGGCCTGAGGGAGGGCAGAGGCGTGGGGTGTGTCCAAAGAGAGGATCCGGCGAGTGGGGGAGAGGCCATAGCGCGCCTCAGTGCGAGGGCCTTGGCCTCGCCCGCCACGCGCACGCCGAAGCGGGCCGTCGAAGTGTTTGCGGAGACGACGACGCCGACCTTGCCGTTCATCGACGGCCGCGAGACGAGAGAGTGGATCGCGACGGTGGAGCCGACGGCCGCAGCGGTCGGATCCGACTCGCCCCACGAGCAGAGGACGCGCGCCCGCTCGAGGGCCGACGGCTCGCCGGCCGAAGAGTCCGCGCCGCCGCGCAGCAGCGCCCGCGCCCGGTCGACGGTGAGCGCCTGCGGAAGAGGTGCAATGGGAGTGAGGACAACGCGCTCATGCCTTCGGCCGCTAGTCTCGGGGCACGCCTCGAGGTGCTGGAGCGGCGTCCAACCGCGGCTGGCGACCAGCCAAGCGGCGAGGTCGGCGTGGCCTCCATCGGTTGCGATCTCCTCGGGCGTGCCGAAGGGCGTAGCGGCGCGGGAGGCGCCGTAGGAGGAAAGGAGCTGGCAACCTCGCGGTGGCCCTCTCGCACGCAATGTACAGCGGTGTGGCGCCATGCGGCGGTGCTCGATTGACCGCCGCGCCGGCCTCGAGGAGCAGTCGAACGATCTCGGGGTAGCCGTCCTGGCACGCGATGAAGAGC